CAGTACTCATGTTCGTGGGGCATGCGGATCTGTTGGTATTTCAACCGGAATTTATGCAACGGCGTCTCTGTCAGCCAAGAGGGCCGAACAAGCCCTTGCGACACCTTCAGGCTGCTCATGTTCCTTAGTAATTGGCGCAAGGGGGTGTTCTCCTCTGACCTCGCCAGGTGGCCCATGTATGTCCATACTCGAGTAAGCCACGTGACCTGCCACAGCGATCCTTTGAACCTTTGACAATACACGTTCAACGCTCTCCTGCAGCTCTGCACGTTCTCTAGCCATGTGCTGAACCCGTCCCTATAGAAGCGAAAGATCCCCAACAGAAGGGAGTTCTTTAGCCCTTCTATCGACTTCAGGGCTCGCATCGATGGCCAGACGACCGAGCTGCACAAGGCCCATTTGGAACTAATGTAGCTATCAAACAGGACCGCCTTAGTGCGATGATCCGTCTCTGGCTTGTCAAGTATTTTCTTCATAGCAAAGTACGAATTGGTCATCTTCCTTAGTGAGTGCGTGAGCACAAGGTCGGGCGCATTGGTGTGCCCCAAGGGCACTCCCAGGAAGAGTAGCCGGTCCTTGCCTTGGAGGGGGGCACAAGCCCCCCGGGGCCATACTCCCGGTGTTGTCCCTTCCAGGTTGAGAACCGCGCATTTCCTCGGATTCACGAACAATCCAATCGCCGCCAGGGAGTCAGTGAGGTCTCGCAACTTCTCTTGGAGTTCCTGGGCACTGGCCCCGAACAGCAAAACGTCGTCCGCATATAGAAGGAAATGCGGAAGGGCAACCCCCTCCCCCCATTCCGGATACTTCTCTGTCCAACGGCCCTGAAGCCCTCTTAAGTGGAAGTCAATGGTCCTACTAAAGAGGTCTGCAGAGTAGCTGCTTCCTTGCATGATCCCCTGTTCCACCTGAACCCGCCATGCTGCCGTTCCAAGCGTGAGGAGCAATTGGTTCTTGGTGCAGAGCTCCCAGAGTAGGGTGATTTCGGGGCATTCTTCGCAATGCAGGAAGTATGCTACAATGGCCGAATGAGCCAAGCTATCAAAAGCCGCTCGGATGTCCAACTTCGCAACGTGAGCCTGAACACCCCTCTTCTTCCTGAGCACACCGATGATTGTTTGCGCAGCCATGATGCCGTCTACCGTCTGTGTCTTGGGTCGGCACCCCATTTGGCCGCTGAAGTATTCAGGGCATTTTAGGGCAACCCGTTGCATGATCATCCTACCAAACACCTTCGACAAGCACGGAGACAGACAGATTGGTCTTAAGTCCCCTGGCCCTTCCGGTAGCCCAATTTTGGGAAGAAGGACGACCTTGGCCTCAGACCAGGTTTCTGGCAAGGGGTTTCTTCGGGAAAGTAGATCGTTAAGGTAACGCAGGAGTTTGCCAGCTTTGTCTTTGGAGTGGTATGCTCTAATTGCCTCGTAGCACACTCCGTCAAGGCCTGCGCTGGTATGGCCTTTGCAGTGTGCCAAAGAACGTCCCAGTTCCTCCTCAGTAAAGGGCGTCGGGCAGTGGCTGCTGTGCGTCGCAAGCATCCGATCGACTGACTCCTTAGTGGGGGGTGGCAAGTGGGAACCGTACTTGGCTTCATAAAACTGTCGCAGCTCTGCCGTCGCGGCGTCCTGTCCTCCGCGACTTTCTATGTAGCTATAGTTTCGAAGGTACCCTGCGCGGAGATCGCCTGTCTATCCCCCAGCCCCGCCCGCTCTAGGATGGCTAGTTTGTGCTCTGCTTTATCAAGCGCCCTTTGATGTCGGATCTGACCAAGTTGCATGGCTCGGGTGTCCCCATCTGTCTCTTCCCGCCTACTCTTAATCATGGCTTTCAATGCATCCGAGTCTCGGTACCTCAGTGAGGGCATCCGACGGGACTGCATGCACACATCAACGAATTCATCCATGCTAAAGTCACCAGGCTGTTTCGTGTAAGCTTCTATGGTGGAAAAACCGGGGAGCCACCTGCCACACCGAGTTTCCATTCTTCGGCCTCTGTAAACCAAGGTCTCTGGGCTGACTAAGCGGCAGAACACTGGAGAGTGGTCGAAGGGGAGCGCTTCCTTCATGTCATCACGCTTGTGTGCATACATCCTTGTCTGGGGATCCTAGCAAGGACGGCATCAATTTCACTTTCCACCCCCCTTGCCCCCCATGTGCTCCCTACTGACGTATGCACTGACAAGGAATACTTTGCAATGAGGCCACGGAGATATGTCATCCCTACAAAGGAATCGGACTTCGCGTGGAAGTCCTGGTTCAAGTCAAGCCCTACAAGCAGGCTATCCCCGTCTGTGATTCCCTCAAGTCCTGCATCCAGCAGCTCGATCGAGGATTTCCAGCATTCCTCGGCCCCAGCGTGTGGCCTGGACTCCGTGCTCATCCTCTTACTATGGGGGAGATGCAGGCATGCAAGATGAATTCTTCGATTCCCTGAGCATGCACCATTCAGCAGTATACCCGTGGGCAGTGTTACCCTGCTTCGCGCACTGAACCCCAAATCCGCCCTGACAAGGATAGCCTGACATCTGCGGGCTTCGGCTGCCGAAACCAAGACAAGCGAGTAAGTCTCAGCTCCCAACCTGATTTCCTGGGTGGTCACCTCAGAGGCAACCTCTGGGCAGCCCCCCAGCTCTTGCAAGAAAAAAAACTCCGGGTAACCAATATTTGATTCCCACAAGTCTGTAAGATCCTGAAGACCCTTTCCATGCAGGTTCCACGTACATGCAGCTAATTCACAACTGCGCGACACTTTGCTTCTTCGTTTGCCCCGGCCTGTTCCCTACGCTGTGGGATCTACTGCGAAGTGAGCGTGAATGGCCTCCTCCTTGAGCTTGAGAGTGTGGGCAAGGAGCGGGCCCGGGACCCACCATCCCGTTTCCTGTCCTTTGACATCCAACAGAAGCAGGGCCCCGTCAGAGGGCTTCTGCTGATCGACGTGAGCTAGTACACTGACTCCATTCACCCAGAAGCGTCCTCGCCAATCAAACTCAAAGTCTTGGGGTCGGACATGCTTCCCTACGAGGTCCTTAAGTGAGACAATGGCTCGAATGCGTGCTCTCTCCTCTGGGCTTCTGTTCCGCTTGGCCCATAGGGGGCTTGTGGGTTGATGTGGAGTTCGAGATGGTTGAGCTGCAGCTCTCAGTGCATCAACTGCCTTGTACCTTGCGCCTGGCCCCCATAGACTCCTGCATGTACAACAAGTCGACCCGACACGTGTTGGCCCTCACACTGCCACAGTACATTGCTTTCAGCAGTGGCGCACACTCCGCGCGCTCAAACCATTCTTTCAGCTCCCTCTCAATATTGTCTCTCTTGCACTCTTTCCACCCCCCTAGTACAACCTGCCAATCGTCGTGAACCCCTCTTCTCTCCCCTCTTGGCGAAATCGATCCTGAGCGTCCGTACCCTGAGGCCAAACTGGGCGAGCGCGACCGAAGGTCCTGGATCTCCTGCTCCATGGCTGCCAGCCTTCCTTCAAGGGCCTGGGTCCTTTCAAGCTGGGTGTCCTGCCTAGCTTCAAGGGAGCTCACTTTATTGACAATGGTTTCGATGGTTTTGGTGTTAGCTTGTAAGGCGCCTAGTTGCTCTTGCTGTCCCCTGTCAAGTCTAGCAATTCCATCAACAAGTTGTGCCGCCCATGGCGGGGGAGCATCGTCGCCTATGTGGTAGCTCTCAATATGCTCGCGAGTACGTTTGATTTGGTCAGTAGCGGGTGCTCCAAAGATAGGGGGTGGCTTGAGTCCCGCAGCAGGATTGGAGGACATAGAGACCTGTGCCGGGAGGGCGGTCCTAGCTCTCTTCTCGGGGCTTGACTTAAGTCGTTGCTGTTGCTTTGCCAAGAGCTTCTCTGCAGCCGCCGCCGCAGCCTCTTCTTGTGGGGCGTCCAGAGGTACCCCTGTCGGGCCCCCCCCTTTCCCCCCCCAAGTAGGCCCTTGCAATCCCTGCCCCCAACTGCGGCCCCCCCCCAGTGCTGCCTGCAGTGCCTCATGGGCCGCCGCTTTCCTTTCCAGGGCCTCTTCACCCCCCCCACCCAACAACCCTCCACTAACGGGGGTCACATCCTCCCCCCCGCCTTCCATTTCAGTATCCGCTACCCCGCTTCTTTCCACCCCCGGCAGCAGCAGCGTCTCGTCGTCCGGCCCCGCGTGTCTCGACATCACGACGACGACGCGAGAGAACAGTGGGAGAGTCTCGCACAAGAGAGGCCTCAGAACAGACGAAGAGAAGGGGGAACGAGACCGCCCCACACCGAGAGGTCGGGCAGGAGAGGGACCCCCCCCGCCCGCTCCGCCTCGGGGCCCCGGCGTGCCTCGCTGGTCGGCAGTCTTGAGCTTGAGCCAAAATGGCTACGGTTTAGGGCGTTTAGGGTGAAGCGTATGGAGGTTAGGAGGGTTTCAGGGTAGGCTTCGGAGTTCAGGGTATGGGCTTCTTTTTGTGAGGGTTTTCGGCCTGTCGCCCTTCTAGGGCAATACCTGCAATGCAGGCCACGTAAGAAGCAAAAAGAAGACTCACTCCGCATGGGTAGGAGGTTTCCGGGTTCATGCTCGGACTGTTCAGGCGAGGCAGATGAAATCACAAGACTGCATTTTTGATGAGAATGCGAAGTAAGTAAGAAGAACAAGACAACTTTGCAGACTTGGACAGGGTTTCGCGTAGTTTTAAGGAAGTTTCTGGTCTAGGATTTTGGTTCGGGGTGTTGACTCAGGATTTACTGTAAGTCTCCAAGGATCTTATGCTTCGCAGTCGCAGGATTTAGGAGTGTCGCTACCCCTCTGCGACACACAATCCTGAGGCTTGGCATTGGGGCGCACTTGTAGCTACTAGCCCAACGTGAAGTTCAGATTTGATATGCAGATGAGGCCTACCCGCCTTCCCGCATTAAATCCAAAAGCCATGATTTTGAGGTTTGTTGGAGTGATGGTGGAACGTGGGCTTTTGTCCCAAACCTCAATCCGCCTAAACCCTAGGCCCGGAGCCCAAACAAAATGGCAGGCAAGCAACGCGCCCTGCAGCTCGTGGGATGAGCAGCTCGACCTGATGCTCTTGACTCTCACGCCCGGGGAGGAACCATGCTTCTCTTGAAACGAAACGGGTCTGGGCTACCCATCGGGTGATGTGTCGGAACCCTCAAGTCCCTAGGCCATACTTAAAATAGATCATCTGTCGCTCAGGAAAATTTTGCTAGGCACAGTAAAACCGGGATTCCGGTACAGAATCAAGGCCGTTCTTTTAATTGACTCCTACTCAAACAAGTCAGCCTCAGAGGGATGACATGAATGCGGCTGAGCATATTCAAGTTTCGATCCAACAATACGAGAAACATGGGAGCTTCACAAAACGCGGGACCCCAAAATAAACACTAGATCGTAGAATCCTTACTAAACGGATCCCACACTCAGGCAGGCCACCTAACTTGAAGAACCCCCAAATATATGCATATATATATATATATATACAGACACACATACATACATATATATATATATATACACATGCATATATACATACGTACATACAGACACACACACACACATAGAAATGAGTCCAAATATAATACGTCTCAGTTTAAGACAATCCAAAACGGAAAGACAAGGAGCCGGATCCGATGTCTCCCCTTCAGAAGCCTGGAGAGACGAGAATACGTACTCAGTTGCGGTGGAGTATGCGCAAACGGTTCAGATGGTAGCATGGCCAGTCAAGTCGTAGTAGTTGTCCTAGCACCTAGCACTTGTAGACTATGGCAGTGCTTAGTTGGGGCAGTACGTAGCAGCAGTATTAGTATAGGAGGAGGAGGAGGAAGAAGTAGCAGTAGTGCTGGGAGAAAAAGAATTAGTAATCGGCGAGGAACAGTGCTACTGCTGCCAGTGCTACTGCTGCTCCTGCTCCTGCCCCCGGCTGCTGCTGCTGCTGCTGCCAGCGACAGACCCTGTACTGCAGGGAAGTAGAGGCACAGTATACAATCATAGCACGCACCGGTGAGTGCGACAAGAACATGAAATTAGCCGGAAGGGTCGGCAAGCAAACAACCGACCAATCCTGGCAGCGCATGAGTAGGACTGCTAAACTGGTGGGGTCTAGAGTTGTATCAAGCAGAGCGCACACTCCAGCACTTGAGATATGAATGATTTTTTGGATTCAGGAATAATGGTGGTCTCGCACGGCAGTTCGGGATGGTCCAGAGTCTGGCATGCGGCAGTTCGAGATGGTCCAGAGTTCTGGACAAGGTCTTGCAGCCTGCGCGTCGTTCAGTCTTTCTGGTAAGGCCATTTTTGGAGGTGATTGCTGAACATTGAACTCCGCAACACCAAAAACCCAAAGCCCTAATTTATGCTTCGTGAGCATCGCGTTTCAATCCTAGTGTGGAGTTATCCGCACGCTTAATGTTTGCACGAGTTGTATTGAATTTGGTCAATGGACCAACGTCCCCACACATCTGACGTGGGGCCTTGACGGTCGCCACCGGGCATAAGGCCGCCAAGCCTGATGCCAAGGCCTGAGACTCTCAAAACAAGGCTTTGAGGCTTCGGGTTCTCGGGCTGGTCAGGTTTTTGAAAGTTTATTTTTGGATTTTGTCTCGGCTCTTTACAATTTTCGGGTTTAGGGGCCGACAATATAGCATGATGGTGATGATGCTTTTGATGACGCTGATGCGGATGGCGATCAACCGACTCGTTGCTATCACTATCAGGTCACTATCAGACTATCACCATCGATTAGCATGGCGTCGCCCACCCAAAAAATCCTGCTGCCGGCGGGCACGCGCTAGAGCAGGATCCTCGCGCAGCTGCTTCAAAGGCTGTGCCTTGGCACATATGCTGCTTCTTGTCATTGTGTGGAGGTTTGATGAACTTTCATTGTTCATGAAGCTCTTGTCCTAAGTTGTCGAGGATGAAGCTGTCGTCCACAGTTTGTATGGCGTGATAGTCCTGACAATGACCGATGATGTGTGCAGCGTTGACTTTCCTGTCCTGACTATGTGGTGTTTGCTGAGGATACCTCAATGTTTCACGTGATGCTCCGATCTTGTTCTTGCTGTTGGCTTGTCACATTGGCAGTACAGTCGGTGTGGGACAGTCATTTCGCACACAGAAGTTGGACTACTGGCTCCACTTAAGGACGCTATAGACTGTAAGTAGGTTGTAAGACTCTTCGGCCCTGAACTGGGCTCTATAGAAGCTAAGCATAACTGGTGCAGCTGGCCTGTGCCAGGAGCTCAAGGGACCGCCGCATCACCTGGGAATCGAAGCAAGCTCTTGCTTTCCGTGAAAGCAGGTAAGATTCTAAGGGTAAGGGAATTTTTTGCTCAACCCGCAGTTTAGGGCGCAGGATTCAGGACATACGGATTCTTCAGCGTTCACCTGGCATGGATACTGCTACGGTGTGAGAGTTGCAGTCTTGCTCAGTCATGGTTGCTGCGGCAGGGCACAAGGTTCAGAAACATTGACGCGCAGTTCAGGTTAGTACCGTGAATAGAGTTTCGGGTTCATGGCGACTGCTCGCTCGCAGGCAAAGCTAGAAGGTTGCTGAGTTGTTGAGGAATTTATGTTTGACGGCGTCTGTGCTTCAGGCTCAGGACGTACTGGTGCCTCGGATAGAGACAAGTACCCCCGCCAGCAAGAGACCATGTAGGAACCTTGCGGAAATGTTGTATAGCTGAGCAAACAACCCTGTTGCGCGCACGCTTGAGCTCCCGCACCACCGCCTCAGATCAACCCGAGTCTACTGTCATGTAGACTTATCTCTATTCTACAGAGCAAAGGCAGCCTCTTCAGGCGCAGCTGTCAGGCCCGGTGTGGGTTCGAGTGCACGCACCTTGGCCGGAGGTTCAAGATGGTCAGTGCTGGGATCCGTAGTCTTCCTCTACCCAAACACCAAGAATCCTAAATGCCAAAAGTCCACGAACATTCGCAGCCCAAGCCCCCGGCCACGCAACCAAGGTCTGGAGGAGGCGCTGGCCCCCATGAAAGGCCCTCAGCTTGTTTTCCTGTTACTAGCCTGTTTGGGCTTCAAGGCTGACCCTTCAGGGTTGAAGGCTTTGAGGTCTAAGGAAACCTTTCGAGGCCTTTCAAAGGCCGTTACAAGGCTTCTGGGGCTGTGCACCGGGCTTTCTAGGATTCGAGGGTGTTTAAAACGGGGCCAGGTGGGTCGATGAGTGCTTTCTGCTGGCTTTCTGGATAGTGTCCTGTAGTATATCCATCAGACAGGAATAGTCTTACTGATCGTCCCGCTGGTGCTGGTAAAGATCTTTTGAGGATGCGGTCGCAGGGCCTCTCTGATTTTCAGGTTCAAAGTGCAAAGTATGTTGGGGGCAGTCTGACCGAGCTCTATATAGTAGTTGCGTCTCGTGATCGAGACTCCGAGTGCACAAAGGGCTCTACAGGCTCTACTTGTTTGTTAGATGCGAAGCTTCAGGTGGCTGTGGCAGCATGATTGTGGGGATGCCTTAGGGTTTCAAGGCCGTTTTGTTCCTCTATATGGCTTATGGCTTAGAGAGGCTTGCTCTGCTTTTTCAGCAGCTTCCAAAACGTGACACGGCTTCCCACCAGCTTCGGCCTCTGCCCTTTAGCGGAGTCTTACCAATGTCAGGAGCTCAGGGCTTTGGGCTTTAGGAGGCTTTCGGCACTCCAGGTGAGGCGTCTGTCTTGAGGTCGGATGGGTGATAACATCAACGACCGCTCATTCACAACAACCCCCAAAATAAATCGAAGAACCTGCTAAGCTGGCATCGACATCAGTCCCAGCGAGAGTCCGCCTGAAATTGAGTAGCTTACTTTAGGACTTTCACTGCCAACTCATCTACTCAAGACAAGGCTGGGACTGTAGTAGGGACATAGCTAGGGGTTTGGAACTGGGCTCAGCCTCGGGCTCAGTTCGTCTTCGTTTGTCCTTCGTGACTCTTCGGGTTCCTGGTCATATTTTCAATGGCCGCCTTCAGACAAAGATAGTTGGCAAGGGTACCAATTGACATACGTCAAGCGCCCAGCAACCCAGGAACTTGCGAGACCACAGCAAAGCACATTCTCCCGTTAGGCATGTCACTTCTTTCTCGGTAAGACCAGTCTATATCCCTCGTATGGACAGTAACCCCGACCTTGTGCTTATAGTTTGCAGGACGGGGTGCAGGGCGCAGGGGGGCCAGCTGCTTCAACGCCGAGTCGGTACCGAGCCTTGGGTGGGTAGATAGAGGAGGACACAGCTTCTGCATTCGAAATCGCAGCTGTGCTATGCATGCACAACGGCCTCACCTAGGCCGTCAGCAGTCCATCAGGAATGGGGCTAAGGAAGTTGGATCTTCAGACCACGGCAGGTTGTCCTGTGACCATAATGCACTGACACTAATTGAAACCTCTTCGGATCATGTTGTGCGTCTCCTTGCAGAGAACTTCCGCTTAAATTCAACCCACCCGTAGTTACCCGGTGGTGTTTTCAGCAGCACAACTCATTTCCCTCCCGGCGCCTTGCAGTGGCCGTTCTTCGTAAGCGTTTGATGGGACGCTCCCCATCCGGAGCTTCCTCGTCTATGGCTTGGGTTCGAGAAACTGATGGCCTCCATCCAGTCTCTGTCTTACAAGACTCGTGCTTTATCTTACTCTTTCTATAAAGGTGACTGTAAGGTGACTCAAGACACTCGGGGCCACTGAAACATTCCTGCAAGCAACAGGCACAGGTGTGCATGGATGTAGGTGGCTTCGCGTGTATGCAAAGCATTAGACTCGTGACTATCTACACGTGCAAAAATGAAAAGCCCAGTTAACACAAACCTGCACAAAAAAACATATGCACATAGACACAAACATGCATACATGCACACATGCACACATGCATGCATACAAACATACACACATACACACACACATACATACATACATACATACATACATACATACATACATACATACATACATACGTACATACATACATACATACATACATACATACATACACGCGTACATACATAGGTCCACATAGGTGTATAAATAAATACACACACATACATGCTAGTACATTACATTGTATTACATTACGGTGAATTACGTTCCATTACATTGCATACCTTTCCTGACATTGCATTACCCTACCTTACCTTGCCCAGCATTCCATTCCCATCCATATGTTACATACCATACGCTACACACAGTACACACATTAGATACCTTGCATATTCGTACCTACCTTGCATGACGTGGTGCGACATGAAATGACACGACTGTACATACATACATACATACATACATACTAGCATACATACGTACATACATAAATACATACATGCAATAGCCGTGCATTCATACACATGCACATACATTACATTACATTACATTACATTACATTACATTACATTACATTACATTACATTACATTACATTACATTACATTACGTCACATTGCATCACATTGCATTACAACACATACACATATGCACGTGCACACACACACACACACGCATACACATGCATGCATGCATGCATGCATACATCCATACATACATACATACATACATACATCATACATACATACATGCACCGCCCGCAGACCCACGCCCACGGACGGAAAGAAGAGAGAGAGAGAGAGAGAGATAAAGAAAAACAAACCAGCACAAACAAACACATATACCACCATCGAAAAGAGAGAAATGACCAGCAGACAAAAAAACACTAACACACGCCATCCCGGCCTCGACCAACACACCTCCTGTTGCATCCCCAATGGCCTTCTGCACCTCAGCAGGTAACCTGGGCAAGGACTCTAGATTCCTCAAACATTCTACTAAAGCCTAGTAAACCCGAGCCAGCCTAACCCGGACTTTAAGCTTGCCATTGGCTCCCCCCTGAGGCTGGGGAAGCCTCAAATGAAAAGCAAATGAGATGAACGAGAACTTTAAACGCTGCACTAGCACTGAACCCCCAACCTTGAACCTAAATCTAACACTAACCCGAGAGAAAGACCTGTGCGCAACCAGTCGGGTGCAGATACAAGCAGAAGCACCCGAAGAGACAGAATATGTCGCTACCAACACCCCCTCAGTGGGGAACATGGAAGCTGGTGGCAAGCTTTGGTCTAGGAAGACACGGGAGCCAGTGCATATAGCAATCATATAGCTTATGGCTTTGACCCCGAACGTCTGGGGCCTCCCAACCCGGCGCCTGTCGGAGGATCTGTGGCCTAAGCTTATCCTAAGGTTCGCCGTTCTGGAACGAACCATTGTAAGTTGAAGACTGAGTCCGGCCCGGCCTCGGCAGAATGCTCTCCAGCTGCAGGTGAAGCCAGCTGACGGCCTTGCATGAAGGCTCTAGTGAACTCTCGCACTGAACGCCCAAACCCGGAAACCCGAGGCCCTTAAACAACAGATACCAACGACTAAGGCTTTCTCACACCCTGGGACCGTCCCAACAGGGCGATGGCGGTTCAGGCACAAGCATGACCAATCCTGAACTCCACGCAGCCACGGAGGAGCATTCGGCATAGGTTTCTCCACCTTCTTCTTGCCCATCTTTGCAAGAACAACTTGCGGATTATCTTCTCAAGGCACCTCAACTCCGAACAGTGTTTATAAGCTGCAGTTCATAACGAAACACCGTCGGAGCCCGAAGCGGACTTTTGCGATCCGAGCTCGGCCTCTTGGACTTAAGGTGTAGAGATCCGCATGTTCAGAGGATGCTCGATTCATGATGTCGCTTCTACCCGACATCTCTGCAATATTGTCATTTGTTAACAGCCAGCTAATATCTTGGGCCTCGTTCTGGCGCAGGGCACGCAGAACCCCAAGCAGCACTGCTAGCGCCGGGCTGCGAGAGTCTGCGCCGGGCTGTTGGACCTTTGATCGGGGAGGTTGAGCCCCTATAGAGTAGGGAATTCAGTTGATGGCTTGTAATTCGACAGAGGAGATTCGAAAGAGCTTAAACCGAAGGTGTAAGTGACTGCGTGCGTGCTGGTGATCATTACATCTCCATTGCCTTCAGCGGTTTTGCTCCACGGACGCAAAAGCACTACCGAACATGTGCCGAGAAATCTTGCTTGATCCCTGCCCCCTGCATCTCCCAAAGACGATTATCGTAGAAATTCGGTTGAGTCATGTGAATTTCAACTGCATGTGTCTATTGTGCTCCACCTCTGAACCCGACAGCATGTGAAGGGCCTCCGCCAGGCTCCAGCGCAAGGTCCTGGGCACTATGCGCATGAGCTGTGTGTAGGACCCAATGTGATGTAGTGCAAGACCCCCAGCATTTCGTTTTGGGGGCAACTGCTGCAACGATCCGGACTTCTACAGAGTGTAGGAACCTTGGAGTTCTTCCTCCACCTGACTGCTGCCACGCATCTCGTCCCGCTGCCGGGCAAGGCGGGCGAGCCCGTCGGAGGGGTTTCCTGCACACAGGGGGTTTGGGTCATGTGTCCGACGGTTCGCGGGCATTCGGGCCGGTAACGGGGTTGAGGGGTTCACATTTGCTTCGTTGGGACATTTCCGAGTCTCACGTACCCTTTAAACAAGCTTCCAGCGTTACATTCTATGTCTTGAGATGTGATTGTAGCTGAGAAATGCTGGCGCACAAAGAAGCTTCGGGCCTCCTGCAAGCTACATTTCAGCCAACAGTACATAAACCCCAAATTTCCTACCCGAACTTCAGCACCCGCAATAAGGGACCGGGACCACTAATTTCAACGGGCTCAGGAAGGAGTTTGCAAAAAGAGGTGTAGTTTCAAGCCCTTCTGTGCTTTTGTTCTTAAATTTAGATTACAGAATTCGCCGTACTGGTGCTTCATACGTGCCTTTTCCCTATGTAGCTAGCAGCTAACAGCTATCATAGCTTTGTAATGTACCCCCACACCGACCTACTACTGTATGGATTGGAGAAGCCTCCACCGGATGCCCTGAACTGACCTAAACCTCAGCCCGAAATCCTTACAGTATCCTGATAAAAGCCGTTGTTGACCCTTTTCAAATACTCATGCTCTCGGAAGCTGCCTGACGCAGCTGTGAGCACCTGTCCAACGATGGTGCCTAGGAGGCCAGAGGCGTGCGCTGGGCTTCTCAAGGGGGCGGTCTATCGGGCGCAACTGCTTGGGATGTTCAGCTCAGTATCGAGTGCGATCAGCTGCAGTATCATAACAAGTAAAAGAAACCATCCAGTACATGTATTGCCGACACCTCGTCACATGCGATAGATCCGTCCAGACATGCATGAATGAAACCTTTTTCCTATTGCGTAGTTGAGCACCTAACCTGGGCTCGGAAACGTGGACTTGAGGCTTCAGCATGACAAGAATGGAGCTGCAGAGACTTTCCATCCTCGTCATCATTATTGTCATCATGGGCTACCACCGGCTGACAAGATGATGCTCACGATTCATTATCACTTGCTGTTGGGATAGCTTTGGACTTATGGTCACGTGCATGCGGGGGCCTATATGACGAGAGTGGAGCCAGGCATGCACTTGCAATTTCTTGAGCCCCCTACCTTCATCCGAATGGTTTACAGGCGCCGGAACTGAAGAGACTAATGTCAATTCTTGTGCCTGTGCATCTTGTGTCAGAGGTGTTCCAAAGTTTCCAAAGCTGTTGAAAAGAGGGGCCTCGTGCTTCACGCATGAGATTCATCCTAACTCCTAACCCACCATGTATGCTCTATTTAAAGGTGACTGTTGGAGATTCGCCGAGCTACTGCAGTAAGCTCGCTGTTTATTAATTCATTCTATAAAGCCGTTTAGAGTCTCGCGCTGGAGTACGAAGGGGCTGAGTGGCTTGGGGTCGAGGAATGACTGAGGGGGCATCTCATGGTGCAAAGTGCGGACAGGCACCCGCTCTAGTCTCTACCTTCTGCCAAGCCTCTTAAGTCGCTACGGTCTCGCCCACGTAGGCGTTCAGCATGCTGAAGCAAGAGGGCCAGGAGGAGACGTAGCCGGCTCCCGGTGACATGGCCCATCCAGTCCACGACAGCTCGGAGAAGCTCCAGCACCGCCTCGCAGGGAATTTTAGTTTGAGGGAATCCTTGCAGTTGCTCCGGCTCGCCTCGAAATACGAAGCCTGAATCATTCTGCTGCAGCTCAAAAGTCTCAAATGCCCTTGGACTAGTGACGTGTTCATGCCACCTTCGGCACAAAGGGTGCCCAAGTCCGAATCATCGGGTCGAGATAAAAGATCAACTCCTAAGCAGCGGGCGAAAGCTTCAAGGATCGTGATTTGTCATGGCTAGTAACTACTAGCTACAAAAATATCGCATACAGTACTTCTGCAAGCTGGGGTTTGGATTTGCGGGCTTAGCTGAGGTACAGGCATGAGCATCGTTAGAGTTCTTGTTTTGGAGATTTAGCAGCTCAGGGGCTGAAAAGAGGATTGAAGCCTGTTTTGGCCACGGCGTAGGACATACTAGAGTTCCTAGACGGCTCAAAGTTGAGCGCAAAAGTTGAGAGTTTACGTCAGCTGACTGATGCCGCACGGCAGGTCGTGCCACGAGAGAAGACGGCCCAACAAGATACACGACGTGTGGAGACTGCGAAACAAGTTTTTTCCCAAACCAACAGCCTCAGCCAACGAGGTAGAGCCGAAAACCCCAAAACGCTAGACCACACACACACACACACCTTCGAACGTAGCAGGGCTGTGAGGAGTAAGCCTCGAGACCCAGCACCCACAGCAGAAGGGCGGCACCCCGAAAACATCTGAACACAAATGTTTGTCGTTTAGGACATGCGGCGACATGCGGAGCATATGGGGTTGGGGCTCCGGATGAATGAGGGCCCAGCGTTTAGAAATGTGCTGAGTTGAGGGTTTGGAGGCTATAGACTCATTTAGACCGATTGCCCATCTGAACCCGCAGGCAATGCTGCAAGATGGTCTGAAAGCTCTGAATTTCTCGGCCCTCGCCGCCAAACCCTCAACCGTTCTTTCTGACCAGGCTTCCCGGAAGTGTCGCGCCACAAACTTCTTCGTGTCCGCCCACTCGTAGGCACCGGCCACCTGTGCCGAGGGCGCAACAAAGCTGTAAAATGCTGTGCAAGTTGTGGCTTCGTGGCTTCAGATTCAGGCTGAGGCCTCAAACAGGCGAGCCTCCATATCGAGAAATGTTGCACGTCATAGATGCCTATGAAGCCAGATTTCGCCTCCCGGAAGGCGGCCGCCACGGCCACGGGGTTCGTCTGATCTTTGTAACATGGCTCGTCGTAGGTGAGCAAAGGCAGCTGCAGGGCGAAGGCAAAGATCTGTCCCGCCTTCGAAGGCTGCAACAAACTACAGTAGATTGCAATAAAGTGCAGTCTTATATCCGATTCTATCCCCTGATTGGGGCAGTGCATTCCTGGACCTTTACGGTAGCAAAGGGGCGGCCGATCCTTGGCTACCTTCTCTGCAAGAACCAAAGATGTAAACTCCAAAAGCTCGGTATGGGCCTTGCCTTGGTCTTCAGGAGTGTAGCCACCTGCTGCTCGCCTAGGCGCTCCTCTGCTGAAGCACTGCTACGCTTGGGTTTGGGAGCTCAGGCCTGGGAAGCTATCAAATAATTCTCAGGAAAGGACGAATCCTAATCGTCATCATAATATCAGAAAGAACCATACTCGTAGTCATAATACAGGTGATAGGAGAAGCGGTTTCAAGTGTGTGAGTTCAGGATGCAGGGAATTGAGTCTAAGGTTTGGGTGCTCATGGAACAAGCTTTGTGGCATGGCTTGGCTCCACGGTTTACCAGGCAAGTGTCATGACAGTTACGGAGGCACTAGAGTTCAGAGATTGCTTGCTCGAGGTTGGAGAGCATATTGGGCTTAGGACTAAATCTGGTGACTTTGACTTGACCTCAGGCTAACACCTGAACTCTGAACTGAGGCCGCTACCATGCCTGTGGCCAGATCTTCCAACCCCCAAGGTCCTGGACCTCCTCCCCTCACCCACTGCAGGTTTCCTTCCCGCGTGCTCGCGGGTGGTTCTGGCTTCCTTGTTCCCACTGCAAATGTGGGTGGGTGTGGGATCCCGTTTGTTCCATCCGCCCTCCTTCCTGTGGGTGTGGCTGGGTTGGGTTTCTCCCTGCTTCATGTGGCAGGGCTTCATTCGAACTGATTAAGCTGCGAGGCTTGCGATCCAAACAAGGATCGCGGGCCTGAGCCGCCCGTTGCTGTGACTGTTCGCTCTTTTGAGGGACGTCAAGATGCAGAAACGACAACAATTAGCTAGTAGGATGTCACCCCCAAGTCATCTCGGTGACTGTAGGCCTAGGCATTGCTGCAACATCGGAGTGCTGTCAGATGCTGCTATCAAGATCCGAGAAACGGCAACAGTTGCGAGGATTTCAGCACGAAGCCACCTCGTCCTCGTAACTGTTGTGAGCGGCAAGGGTTCATTAAGTTTCACCAAGTATCCAAAATCATCACCTGTTGCATTGAGTTGGATGGCATTTGCCCCAGACGTGTCATAGCACGCGATCGCGAACAACCGTGCCTCGATCGAACCGTTTATTTAGTCTACACAAAGTCGTAAACCACAAATCCCAAACCCCTGAAAGTGTCTCCTGCAGACCGGCAAGGCTGCGCCTCAGGGGCACTACGCATGCAGCCAGGGGCACGCCCAAAAGTTCCTGGCAAAAGAATTTACGGATTGTCGAGGGAAGGTTCAGAGTTTCGGGGCTTAGAGTTCAAGTAGTATAGGATTTAGCTTCGACAATACCACCACCTCATGTGTGGGGTTGTTCTGAGTAGTGGGAATACTCATAATTTTTACAAAAGCCGACCTGGAACTCTGCTGAAGACGCGCCCATGCCGCAGCATGGGGCGACTTCGCCCAGTGCAGCGAAGTCCTCCGATAAGACGATGGCCTGGGCCGCACGACGGCAGCTGGAATGGATTTTCCACGGGGGTTTGGAGATCTTCTGCTTGCTTTCTGGAGGGAGGGGAGACAAGATGTCAGACTTCGCTACAACGTGCACCCATGCAAACAGGGCCGTGTTTATGGCTGGCAGCTGCTAGGAAATCCTCAAAGGAGACCCGCGCGTCCAGGAACCTAGACCTCCTACTACAGCTCCACACGACCTTGAGACCACGGCATGTTCGAAGCCAAAAGTCCAACAGAAGCCCGAAGCGAAGTCTCTTAATCCAGCCCGCCAGTGTCTCAACCTTATGTTTTTCCATCTGGACCACTGCAAACACTGCAAAGTCACAAAACATACGAAACATGAAGACCTAGTCACAAGTGTTCAAATCTCCGCGAGGTCACATAGAGAGGTTCACAGTCCCCATGAAGTTATGCTATGGGAGCATATCACACACGTACTTGAGCAGTTGCCATGAAGTGCCGAGGTGCTGCAACCGCCGCCGCAAAATGGCGGCCGAGGCCCCAGCGCTGACCTTTGGGTTTAGGGGGGGTAAACGGTTTAGGGGTAGTATTGGCCTCAAGGGTCTGCATCGACATGATACGACGGCGACGACGACGGCGACGACGAATCAGACTAATTACCATCATCGTAGCAGTAATCGCCCTGGTCACTGTAGCAATGGTCACCCTGCACCAATCGCATCTATCAAGCAGCGGAACTGTTGGCAGGAACAAAGAGGAGTTGGAATGTAGGAGAGGTAAAACTGCTGCGAATTATATTCATAATCGCAACGTCTACGGTGACATGTTGGTGATCGCGCTTAACTCGAGTTTAGGACAAGCCAGGGAAGAACAGAACCCAGGTTCGCCACATGGATCCCACCTCGACCAGGTAGAGCTGCTGCGCCAGCAGGCGCAAGCCCAAGGTCCGCCAGAGGAAGCTGTGTCAACCGGCGCCGAGCCTCGGTGCGATCTCCGTTTATGAGTTCACTTGGGGCTTTTATGGTCTAGGGTTTGGAGCTTCGGTGCTCACACTCGGACAAGCCAGGCGAGGTTATTGGTGCGTAGTCGGATGCGGTGAAACACTCCCAAGAATGGAGCTTAAGCTTTCGGGTTTGTCATTGGCTATATATGGTTTGGTGTCTGTGGCTTCCCCGGAGCTTCCGGTTTGAAAGTTCAAGCTTCATGCCTTAGAAGACCTGGCAGAATCAGAAGAGGGTCTTCTCGACCCTTCGGAATAGCACACTCTGCCTCTGCCGAGCAGCGCGGAGCACAGCGAGGAAGATTGGTGCGCGAAAGACCAGCGCAAGGGGAGAGGGCTCCGTGCCAGAGGCTGTCGCGAACCCCATCTCCTCCGTTCACAGAGGCCCAGCTCTAGGTGTCTGGGGTTGCGGACCTGAGCCTGCAAACAGTAAGCAGTCTTAACATTCACAACAACCTTCAGGCACTCATACAACTAAAAACCACAGAACCTCGTCCAGCACGCCCAGCGCTTTTCTGACGGTTGACCGCAGCTGGGCCTGCGATTCGAACATGTGGTGGTGTTTTGAAATCGTGGGCGTGTCGTTAACCCTTCATAGACAGAAGGATCCACCTATCTTGTCCTTCAGTCAATGAAACTCCCATGTCTCCAAAGTTGCACTCGCAGGCCTGGACATCGGCGCAAATACGAGGCAGCACCCGGTGCCTCGACTTCTGGTAGACTGGTAGACTGTTGGGTTTCGGGCTCTTGAATCAAGTTTGTGAGGTCAGAGGGGCCGGATCAGCGAGATCTAGGCAGTCCGAAGACTTGCTGGGCCTTCACTCTACATCATGGCATGCTTGGTCTTTTCACGGCAATCCACTCTGAAGATACTTGTCTTCCGTTGACTTCTGCATTGGTGGTGATGATCCGTGATCTGCACCACACTTCACATCTGAGGCTTTCGAGACATGGGGTGAAGCAAACTGTGCACAGACTCCGATAGTCCTTAACTAAGCCTAAGCAGCAGACCTCATAATTTCGGAGGGGTCCTTCATGAGATTTGCGGTGTTTGACTTAGGTTAACTGTTCTGTAAACCTCCAGATAAGCCATGAAGCCAAGACAGAGGCCAAGATGCATGTAGCCTTGGCAGGCGACTTCTATTGCCACCTGCATGCCGACCAGTGTCACAGAGTCGGCTGCCTCCTCCAAAAGTAGTATCCAACAGGCTCAGGCTTCTCTCCAATTGCTACAATTACACATTACAGAAGGATATCCGTGGTCCCGGAGTGAAATATCATGGATTTATGGCGGGCTGAGATGGTCGGATCCCGTAGGTTAGTAGATTCGAACCCTTCACTGTTCACTTCGGGTAGTGCAGATATGTCCGAACAGAGCAGGCGAAGTTGAGCAAAGAGGGGGGGATGGAGGCACCCCCCAGAAAGCCGGAAGCAGAACCTTCAGCAATCCTGTATTTCACAACCTTGAGAAACCCGGCAGACCTGGGTCATCACCCGATCCACCAGAGGCTTTAGCTCCTCAAGCAGTGGATCGCTCCTTGGCTTTCTGCTTACACCGCAAGTTTTGGATCATGTAGTGTAGGGCCAGTGTAGGGGTCTTGTGCTCCGGAGGTAAAGTCCCGAGGTGTCGGCGTCTGGTGCGGCTTCGGCCGTAGGCCAAGCACAGACTGAACGTACCAAAGCTGCCAACACGCGAACGTGGAGCTCCAACAGAGAAACAAACAAATAACAAACACACACACACACACCAACAAACAAACATACATACATACCTACTACGTACCTACACGCATGCACGCGCACACACCCACGCACACGCACACCCACACACACACACGCGCACACACACACACAGACACACACACACACGCACCCACATACACAAACACGCACAAACTCTCTCACACACACACACACAGAGACACACAGAGACAAACACGCAAGCGCACACACACAAACACGCGCGCACACTCACTCACTCTCACACTCCCTCCCACTCCCTCCCTCCATCCCTGCATCCCTCGATCCCTCCCTGATCCCTCCGTCCATCCATCCCTGCATACACAAAAGGCATGTCTGTCTGTCTGTCTGTCTGTCTGTCTTTCGGTCGGTCGGTCAATCTGTCTCTCTACCGGTCTGTTTGTTTGCATGCACATATGTATATGTGTATGCTTAAGTGTTTGTAAATGCATGCATGTACGTGTGTGTGTGTGTGTGAAGTTGTCGAAGTATGTCTGTATGCATGTAGAGGAGGATGGGATGCACTTAGATATGTAACTGTTGTGCCCATGGTATATATATATATATGTGTGTGTATATATATATATATATGTACACACACGCCTACATGAACATATGTGTATGTATGTATGTATGTATGTATGTATGTATGTATGTATGTATGTATGTATGTGTATGTGTGTATATACATACATACATACATACATACATACATACATACATACATGTGTATATATATATATATACATGAACACACGTATATGTAATATGTGCATATGTACGGATGTACATATGCACATATGCATGCATGTATCGATGTATGTATGTATGTATGTATGTATTTAATTAAGTACGTACATACGCACGTACATAGATGCGTACATATGTACGTATGTACTCATGTATGTATTTATGTATGTGTAATTACGTACCTACGTACGTACGTACGTGCGCAGGTGTGCATGTATATATGGAAGTATGTGAGTATATGCATGCATGTACACGTGGCAAGGAAGAACGAGAGAGAGAGAGAGAGAGAGAGAGACAGAGAGAGCGAGCGAGCAAGCGAGAGATGCGATCGATTCCATCATTCCTTGCGATGGGAGCAGTATCTGAAGATTTGCGAAGCCAGAGACCGTGCATCCCCTGAAGGAACACTGAGCCTCAAACCCTGGGTGCTACGTCCAAACCGCAATGTCGTAAGCTCTGGAGCCAAACCTGCTTCCCGTTCCTGAAACTATTCCGCCTGGAATCTCAAACGTTTCAAAGAGGACGTGGATGGAGGTCTTGGCCACGTCCAGCTGCACCTGGTCGCATGTTGGGAAGCGCGAAGTTTCGCACACAAACACACTAAACCCTAGACCTTTCAGCGCTGTACCCAAAGTACCTGGTCCTGAACTGAACCGTAGTCTCCGTAACTACGCGGGGCAAGCAGGGACTGGTAAGAGTACCGTACGACTGTCGAACTCTAGGACTGATGCTTGTTTGTTTTGGAGGTTGTAGGCAGTGTTCTTTCTTGACTTCCCTCTTCTCAAGGTTCATTGTCACGGTGTGCGGTTCATGTCGGGACCAAAAATTAATTGGGCGTCCTTGAGGATTCTATAGTCGATAGTTTTGGGGCCCTGGGCTCAACAGCAACTTGCACAGTCAATTTTCGCCTGCAGCTCCGACCTTCCTTCGCTGACAAAAGCTATCATTCTTGCCCAGTCCTTAAACAGCTTGAAAGCCGACACCCGAGTCTGTAGCCTCGACACAAACATGGCTTCCCGCCGACAATGAGCATGACAGAACCCCAGTACTCAGTGATACTGGCCTACCCGGGGCAGGTTTTCCCACTATCCAATCTGGTCGCCAGTGCAAGTCTGTCTTTGCTGTCTATTTGTACAGAGCTTTATGAGGCTTGTTGTCGTCATTTCACTTGTAACTCTTGATGTGCTCGTTGCCATGTCTGTGTTGCTTGTTTTCCGGATCACTCCGTCTGTTGCTGTGCTCCGTCTTCCTACAAATACGGCATTTTCATGAATCCCTCCGTCAGCTCCGATTATGCTTGCGATTGCCGTTGTCACCACTGCTGGTATGTTGACAGATGTCCACAGTAATAGGTCTCGCAACGAACACTTTTTTAGCACAACTAAAAATAATTTCGCTATTTTAATCATCGGCTGCGATTTGAGGCCAAATGTCGGAAATTATAATCGCCCATACCCTGGGGTGTCCGAGTTTGCGATGTTGCGCACTCAGGCCGAAGTCAGATAGCCCCCCCAACCAAACAGCCTCATCAGTGGTAGTAGTAGTAGTAGTAGTAGTAGTAGCAGCAGCAGCAGTGGTAGTAGCAGTAGCAGTAGCAATGGCAGTAGCAGTAGCAGAAGCAGTAGCAGTAGCGGTAGCAGTAGCAGCAGAAGTAGCAGTAGTAGTAGTAGTAGTAGTAGTAGTAGTAGTAGGAGCAGTAGTAGTAGCAGAGTAGCAGTAGCAGTAGCAG